TTCCCTTTATCTAAAGCTTTCTTAGTATCCTCATCCATGATATTAAATAATAATATAAGTTTATACTTCTAAATGTATACTCTGTTAGAATTATCAAAGGTATTTCAATATAATAATTCTACAATTCACATGCATTCATATTTTTTTAATTAAAACGTACCAGTTCTTCTACGCTCATATTACGTGAGTCATTCGATGGGAAAATTAATCCACATTACAACATCGCACTTCTAAGATAGTATATGATCTGGTTAGGATGAATAGTGTTGAGTTGGGATTTCCTTTCACTCTGCAGGATGACTCTTGCATTTTATAAATTCTTTTATTACAACACTAAATACTTACATATAGTGTAGGAATATTGGTCACATCGTTCACATTCTCTCGCTTCCCGACTCTCAATTACAATCGTGCGCTCTCTATCGGTGGCTTTTCTACAATGCCATCTCTTGGCTGCTTAAAAATCTATGTCTAATTTAAAGGTAAATACTAATTTCCAGTGACTCTTATTCCAAGAAAATTCATTAAGATAATCTGTTTATGTTTTGCTTATTATTTGCATCTAAAGAAATATTTCATTTTTTGTAATGTATTCTGTTTGTTTGTATTCTGCTGTAAAACATACATAAACATATGTATGCCTATTGTGTGTGTATTATGTTGTAAACTATGCATGGTATGTACTTTTTTTTTTTGATGCATTTCTTTAGTACTAAGTATGGCTAATTTGGTTTGGCTTCCTTCCTGGTTGTAATTGCCTTTATAACCGCTGCTCGCACAACCAATATTTCATTTAATCTTTTTTATTTTTCCCTTTAACTGCAATGGATTTCACAACTTGGGATTTGCCAAGAGATGAACAAGTAGAAATCCTGTTTCTTCAAGAAATATATATTCTTCACAAAGAAAGATAGTCTTTGTATAGCAAAATATAATATCAAGTTGAAATGGATGTGCATCCTTCAATCATGCTGGGAGAGAAAAAGTATTTTGAACAAAATGGTATTTGTTGTATCATTCATTCCTTTTGTTTACTTATGGTGTCAGGAGCTGATGTCTAATGAGTTTTGTGAACCAAAGCTTGATTAAAACGAATCACAACACAAAGATTGATTGGAATAGTTAATGAGAGAAATATGTGATAGTTCCTTAATCAGTGGATGCAACAAAACTGTGGAAACTGTTAAAAGCTTATTTACAAAAAAGAAAAAATAATTTCGGCCATGTTCTCTTTCCCTCTGATGATACCTTTTGGAGGATTTTGTCATGAAATTAGAGGATGCTTTTTTATTGCTGTCCCTTGTTTATTCTATTTCATCTAGTAATATCAAGCCAAAGCCATGTGAAAAGAAATAAGCACAAATGCTCCAATATAGCACCAAAAATGTGTGATATGACTATAATGGGAAAATACCATACAATATTAAGAAGCCAACAAAATACAGTACAAAGTCCGAGATCTGGACGTGCTTTACACATGTGCGTTTGATTTTCCCCGTGCATAATAAAAAATATGTATGCCTAAATTTTTTTTTTTTTTTTTAGTAATTGAGAAACAGTATGGTAACCTTTTATGTTGACATTACGCTTGGCAGTGTGAAGCGTAATGTCAACATAAAATGTTATCATAAAGATTTAAGTTAAATCCACTAAGAAATGTTGACAGGAAAATTTAACAAAAATTTCTTTCCGTATGCTAAAAGTAGATTTTGTTAATGATACTCATAGGCCAAAATATTACATTTAGTGCTATTTGAATTTAAAATAATTGATTTGTTATTCACATAAATCCAGAACCAGCGCCAGAGTTCATATGGCCGCACCCAGCGGCAGAATTTAGGAGCCCCAGAAACTGCATCAGGTGGTAAGATATCTAGTACTAGCCGTCAATAAGCCTGAAGAATGTGTGGAAATTTACTTATTCGGGATTCAGATAAGCATTAAGCATGCGCAATAAATAGGCGTTAAGTATAATAAATAACTAATACAATTCAGGCTTAATTGTCTCTCAGTGCACGATAGAAGCAAGATAAAATTTAGCAGAACGACTTGTCATTAGTGGCCAATCTCGTAATACATAGCCAGATATGTATAGTGAACGACAGCTAATTTTATGATGATAGCCGTGAATCTGTAGGTTTTCAGATATCATAAACCAAAGGTGAAATTTTCCAATTAATGGATTTTGTAAGGAAATGTGGAGAAGCGGTAATAAATGAAGAGGATATAAAAGAAGTTTTTCACTGTGTTGACAAAGCTTCTCAATCATCAATCAGTTAGCAGATGGCGAAATCTGTAGTATGACTCTAAATCTGGAAAATACCGCTACAGATAGAGAGATGAAAAATTTATATTGACAAGTTAGTCGAAATTCTAGACACAGCAGTTGGAGGACTTCAACAATGGAGCTTTGTAACTGAATAAGAAATTATGTCTGTCTATAGAATTAAAGAGAAAGTATTAGCACAAAAAATGAAGAAACTTAAACAACTTGAAAGAAATACTTGATAAAGTAAAAAAAATAAGTATTAAGCTTTTCTTTTTGTTGTTGTTGTTTTGTAAATTTTGATACTCTTTAGATAATAAATGCTTCATTATTTCATAAATTATGATTTCATATTTTTAATTTTATTATTTCTATATGCCACCTTACTAGATTTAAACTGATGATCTGATAACCGGAATCGAAGTCCCGATGAGTCTGGATGTGGGACTTCATACTGTAGTTGACAGCAAATCAGACTTGCTTTTTTAAAAGACATATTTGGAGCACTAATAGTTTATGCTAAAGTCCATTAAAGACTGAAATGTTCTGGTGATGTAAATTGTAAATTTCTGACTTGCGTATCTAAGGATACCCAAAAATAACCAGAATGACCAAGATGGAAAGCAAGCACTTCATAATTACAAATTTTGCCTCTATATCTTAGTAACTTCAGATTTCTGCTCGTCTTTCCTAAGTAGTGTGGTTTGCCCTCGCTGTTATTTTGTTTGCTTTTCCTGTTCACAGAGCCTTGCAATTTTTGTGTTGTACAGCCACAAAGAAATGTGTGAGTGTTTTCTTTTAGGAAAATTTCAGCTAAAATTGTTAGTATGTGTTTATCAAATCTTCAGAGATGATATTTTGAGTAAATCACAAGCATAGAAATGGTTTTCCACTGTGGAAATAAGGTGGCACGTAGAGCCACTGAATTTTGATCATTTATAATCTTCCACTCAAATTGTTACACCTCAGACCCCAAATTTGAATTTCAAATTTTATTTATTTATTTTAGATTTTGAGTGAACCTAATGAATCTAAAATTTTTTGTCTCCCAGACCTAGTATTTTAATATAGAACAATTTAAAATTGTATACCATTGTAAACTATAGGCTGTTTCAACTCCAAAAAATTTTTAAATGCTTTTGAAAAAAGTATTTTATTTCTCTATTTTTAAAGTTAAGCTTTTAATTATTTTTAGAAAAAAGCTCCCAAAGGTGTTAAAAATTACAAAAATTATTTTTAAATTATGAATTATAAAAAACTAATGATTGTAAAAACAATACATGGATAGATTAAAACTGAAGATTATGTAATTAATCAATATATATTATAAATGTAAGTGTACAATGTATGTGCCTCTAAAATTCAGAAAGGTGTTCCGGTACGATCAAGGAATTTATATGGTCTGGTAGCCCTCTAGGCCCCATCGATGAAGAAGGTGCCCGTTTTTACCTGAAAGGCATGCTTTTGAAGATATAAGGGCTGGAAGTTTCGCTGTCTAAAAATTTCTATAACATTCCAGGGCATTTGAGACATTCCACAACTTTCCAGAATGTTCGGGAACATTCTGAAACATCCCAGACCATTGTGGAACATTCCAGAACACCCAAATGTTGTGGAATATTCTGGAACATAGTGGGCCATTCGAAGCCTTTTTTTATGGATAGGGCTACCCATTGGTAGGGGTATATAAAGCAAGATCCATCATGGGTTTGTTGACTAAAAACATTCTTGACAATATCAACTTTAATATTCAAAAGAAAATTCCTGGTGAAGAGAGAATGTACAAATGGATTGACACACAATGTCGACGTTGAAGAAAGTGTTAACTTCCCTACAGAATTTTTAAACTCTTTGCAAGTATCAGGAATCCCATTACACTACCTTTGACTTAAAATTGGATCTCTGATGATACTCAGAAATCTCAACTCGCCAAAACTATGTAACAAGGATCGTTGTCAAACTGCTATCAAATAACATCATCGAAGCCGAACTTATGACTGGAAAGGACAAAGACATACAGTATTTATCTGCAGAATACCACTGATATCTACTGAACTACCATTCCAATTTAAAAGACTGAAATTTTTAATCAAATTAGTCTATAGTTTTACAATTAACATAGTGCAGGGACAAACTTTAAAACATTGTGGCATAGTCCTCAATGACTCCTGCTTTTCTCATGGCCAGGTATATGTAGCTTGCTCTCAAGTAAGAAATTCGTAAAATTTGTACTTATATAACCCAAATAACAAAAGGAAAATGTTGTTTTTAAAAAAAGTATTGTAAACGGTTAGAATATGTTTAAAAAAAAATTACCTCTTATATTTTAAAGTTATCTTTTTATTCCAGTTACCACACAATCTCATATCAACTCCTTGTGTGAAGCCAGGTACCCCAGTTAGTATTTATATATTTAGGTATGTGTGTGTCTGTATGTATATGTAGCATCAAGCTAAAACATTCTATCTTGGAAACCTTTGTTTCACCTCTGTATCTTTTATTGTCCTATCCCTTTCTTCTGGCATGCTTAACTTGTAAGTTACTCATGCCAAATTGAAGGCTGTCAGATGCGCAACCAGTATAACAAAAGCATAAGAGTAGAAAGAGCAGATTCCTCAAAACTGGTAAATTTTTATACTTTAATGACTCAAATATTTTTTATTACTTAAATGCATTTACTTTATTCTTTTACTGAATGTGTGCTTAATATTATTGTTATTTTGTATTTTTTAAGGAACAAGACTTCGTTGTTATAATCTGAGAGGAATTATCAAGAAATGTTTGATGCACATTCCTAATTTAGGCATTGAACCAATTGTACAACCAATAACTGACAGCATACTTAGGATAACTTTAAATATTAAACCTGACTTCAAGTGGTCTGATAAGCATCATGGAACTGGATCAGAAGCTTTTTGGATATGGGTTGAAGATCCTGATACTGATTATATTTACCATTTTGAATATTTTATTCTTCCTAGAAAACAGGTATAACAAGAATAATTGAAAACTTACCATTTAATATATTTTAAATAATTTTTTTTTTACCTCTCTTGTATATAAATCTATAATCTGTGAATGATTTGTCACTGAGAATGATTTTCTGATCAGTTTTAAATGGCTAATAGGTACTATGTGAGATGTATCTGTAAACTTCCAACAATTACTTTCCCTAACATTAGGTTATCCCTAACATTAGGTTAACAACATTAGGTTAAAAAGTAACTTTTTAACCTAATGTTAAAAATACAGTTTAAAATAATTAATGAACAGTTTAAAATAAAATAAAAATAGTTCAAGATAAATATTAGAACAAATAAAAATGAAAAATATCACTTACTGCAGTTTCGGAGCTAGTCCATTGCTGTTGAAGCATTGTTGTTATGGTAAATTCAGTAAAAGTCATAATGTTTCACATGTATGTTAGAATATTAGGTCAAAGCAAGAAAGGCTGAGCTTCAAAAAGCTTTCTGCACCTCAGTCTAGTTGATGATGTAGTTTGCTATTCCACTCTTAATCGGAGGCATGAAAATATCTGTAAAATATCTGTGTGCCTGCAAAGCACCTAATATGGTAACCCCTTTATTTTATCTTATAAATATCATGGGTATCTATGCAGCAATATTATTATGAACAAGTGGGAAAATGAACACAAATCCAGTAATTTTCTCGTTGGCATTTAATTTTTTTTAAGATGCTCCCCCCCCAAACAAGAAAGAATTGGTGGGTTAATATTTCATTATTAAAAAAGTCTTATATTTTTATATATATTGAATTTCAATTTCTGGTCTTTGTGAAATATTAGTTCTAAATTTCTTACTTTATGTCTTTCATGATAACTTTACTGCAGCTTAATGATAAAAAATAACTACGCATGTTTGTGTTTTGTTTTCAAAAGAATTGTTTTGTAATTTTATATATATATATATATATTTTCTCAATGCATTTCTGCGAAAACTGCATTGACACAATACAGCTATTGTATGACAAAAGAGTCATGATTTAAATTCTTGCAAAACAAAAGTTCATCTATACTTACTATTTGTAAAATACAAAATGAAACTGTATTTTTCTACTACTGAAGCAATGAAATGGCACCGTACAGAAAGACTGTGTTGTAAAAAGAAAGGTTTATGAGCAGATATTAATTCAAAGGTTTATGCTTTCCTTTTTTTATAGCTGCTTAGCTTACTTCTGGATTCAAGAACTCATGCTGATAGAACTCTGTCAATTACAACTATGGATTGAAATAAATGCTTTCGTATTTATAAATTTCTTTATTTCTCTTTGTATTTATTTTGGTTTTAATAAAATAGCTATTATTTTTGTGAAGCTGTATGTACAGGGTGTTTTCTAAATCTGGCACCACCCGTTTAACTACCGAATGACTGCACTATAGTCATAAATGTGGTGTCTAGGTATAATAAAGTGGCCATGAGCTACTAGATGAGATAGCTTATACTTCCACCTGGGGAAAATGGCGGAGTTACGGTAAAACAGTGCGAGATACGAAGAAAAAGTGAATTACAGAGTTATAGAGCATCATCGATTTAGCAGGATTAAAGAAAATTTTCTCTCCTTTTCAATTTTCATTCAAAATTACAAAAGGTTCTGCATGCAACAGTAAAAAATGTTCAGTTTTTACTATGATGAAGACAACTGCAATTTTTTATAACTAAAATTTTATCTTCTATTCCTTCCAATTAATTATGCTATTTTCCTATTTTTGTTATTGCTATGAGCTGAAATTCAGTTTCAGATTCTATATAAATTTGCAAATATGAAAATAGATCCAGAGCAAGTACATAAATACAAGGTCCGGCTATTAATTTCCACGATTCATGGAATAACTCAGAATAAAAAAAGGTTAAACACATAGCCAATTTAATATGATTCAAAGTAATCTCCATCAGTCGTAATGCACATTTGTGCTCGGCTGTACAAATTTCGGAAAGTTTTCTTGATGGCTTCGACATCCTGAAATCTTGTTCCCTTTAGCAAATTTTTCAGCTTAGGAAACAGGAAAAAGTCTGCGGGTGCTAGGTCTAGAGAGTATGGTGAATGCTGCATTTCAATGACACCGTGCTGGGCTAAGAATGACCTCACAGGCAACGCAATGTGTGGGCGGGCATTGTCATGTAGCAGCAGCCGACTCCCATTTTGTTGAAAATGAGGCCTCACTCTACGAATTCATTTTCGAAGACATTCAAGAACTTCTGTGTAGAACTGTCCATTGATAGTCATGTTAGGAGGAAGAAATTCATGATGAATGAGTCCATCGCAATCGAAGAAAGCGATTAACATGACCTTGATTTTGGACTTTTCAAATCGAAATTTTTCTGCCTTGGTGAACTTGGAGACTGCCATTCGGAGCTTTGACGCTTGGTTTCAGGGTCATATTGATAACACCAAGACTCGTCTCCCATTACTATCCTATACAGGAACGCAGGGTCAGCATCAAGCATTGTCGATTTAAGTTCGCCACATGCATTTCCAGTCTCAATTGCTTTTTGTTCATCCCTTAAATGGTGAGGAACAAATGTGGAACAAATCTTGCGTTTGCCTAAGTCTTGCGTCAAAATTCGCCAAACTGTCTCTTTGTCCATGTTAAATTCATTGGCGAGTACTCGAATAGTCAATCGACGATCACATTTCACCACATCGCGAACTTTTTCAATTGCTTCCGGCATGCGTACGGACTGCGGCCGACCTGTGTGTGGATCATCTTCGACGCTTTCGCGCCCGTACCGAAAGCCACCTTGTGGACATGATTGCTAAAATTAGAATACTAAAAACGCACATGTTTCTTCGCAATTTCTGAAACTTTTGTGTTTCCGAAACTTGAACGAAAGGAGAAACAATTATCTTTCAGACGAAAAACGAGCCCACCTCGCACCACAGTGGTATCACTTGTAATTCTTAATCAAGACGACTGTGGTTTAAACATACAGGGTGCATCTTTGTACTGATTGTCTGTACAAACAGAGTAGACAATATGCTGATCAAGCACAATCGTATCGCAAAATTCATCAACTCAATGGAACTTGAGCTTGGTGTGTGAATTTGTGCATTATGCAAATAGTGTATAAACCATCCTACCTGTTCATCTAAGACCACTATAAAAGAGCTATCTCCCCAGGCTTGTATGTTGAAGCTCATGGTCGTGGAGCGATTTTGAAAAGATAATTTTTATGAGATGGTTCGTGATGGTGAATGTGGCTGCAAGGCACGATTGGTAGCGCGGTTCTATCGCAATTTTTTCCTGCAGGCCCACATCCTTCATACAAAACCATCCTACAAGTTGTGAAACATTTAAGGGAGACTGGCTGCGGAACTAGCTGATTTCGATCTGGCAGACCAGCTAAGGTTGGGCAAAAGTACAACCGGAAGATATCTTATCATACGCCCTCACATATTCAAGCAGAAGCAGAAAAGAGATAAGTGAAAACTGTGGCCTCTGAAAAAGTCATGTTTGGAAAATCCTAAATTATTTGAGTATTCATCCATACCAGCCGATACCTAATCGGGCATTGCTGGACAGGGATGCCCAAGGATGTTTTGCATGGTGCAACTTCATCATGAACCAAATAGAGGCCCATCCAACATTCTTGGCAGATACAGTGTGGACAGATGAGGCATGTTTTTTATGGAATGAAATGTACTATAAACAGAGCACCCATTACTGGGCAGTGGAAAATCCATCATGTTCTGCCGAAACTTGACATCAAATACAGTTTCCGATTAATGTTTGGTGTGGAATTTATAATAACAGGTTAATCAGTCCAATATTTTACTAGGGTATGTTAATGGCAGCATGATATTTAGAACTTCTGCAAGATGTAATACCCAATTTTATTGAGAACCTACCATTGCTTCAACACCAAAACATCCAACATGACAGTGCACTTATGGTGCATACAAGGCACCATAAGTAAAGCAGTACTCATGGAGGAATTCGAAGAACGAATATTTGGGTATGGTAGTTTCTAAGAGTGGCCTCCACGATCACCTGACCTGACTCATTAATGGACTTTATCCTTTGGGGATGCATCAAATAGCAGGTGTGTGCGACCCCTCCACAAACATTGCAGGACCTTCAATGACATATTGCAGATGCTTGTGCAAACGTTTCACCCGCTATGCTACAACTTGAAGTTCTAACTAGGGTCCAGATGCGCGTCAGGGTAGAGAAGTTTGAACATCGGAAATAAAGGTAGCTTGTGATAAATAGTCGTTATTTTCTTTCTAAGATCATTTCGTCATGTAACAGTGTAGGAAATTGCAAACAAATAAATGTGCGTTTAAAACATTCTGTCCTTAACACAAAATGTCTTTCTGTACTAAATCAACAATGCTCTACAACGTTGTAATTCACTTTTTTTCCCCCCTTTCTCGTACCGTTTCGAGGTAGGGACGGTAACTCTGCCATTTTCCACAGGTGGCAGTCTAAGCTATCTCATCTAGTAGCTCGTGGCCATTTTGCTATACCTAGACACTACTTTTATGACTATAGCTGTAGCCGTTCGGCAGTTAAACAGATGGTACCGGACTTTATTGGGCACCTTGTATATTGCTTAGGCTGTAATTTCTAGTTTGGGTTAGATTTTCACCAATACTTACATTTGGTGCCAAGTGGCACACACTTAACTGAAGATTACCATATTTTGAATTTCCTTTCCTGATTTTCATCTTTGAAGCAACTCATCAGTACAGTATGTGTTACCAAACTCTCATTACCATATTTTGAATTTCCTTTCCTGATTTTCATCTTTGAAGCAACTCATCAGTACAGTATGTGTTACCAAACTCTCATAACACATTTACAACCATACTTTTAAAATGTAAATAAATGCATATGAGAAAGCAAACTTCAGTTTCTGCTTTTTATAATCATTTTTAATTGACAAATCAATGTTTAGTGAAATATTTTCAGCTGTTTGACAACATTGTCACATTTTTAGAGTGGACTGTGTCTTTATGTTCAGAAAAAAATGCACATATTTTTTTCATGGCATTTCTGTGTGTCTAATTTTTGTTCTTCTTAAATGTTTTTTAACCCTGGAACTTTTTTTAAATTCCAACCAGAAATTAGTAAGTTGGATTAAAAGTTTCAGTAAAAAAGTAGTAGTTTCAGTAGTTTTAAAAAACAGACTACTCTTTTAAAATAAATTTCAAAACTCAAAAGCACTTTTTGAAGAACTAGCACTGGTCTGTTGGTTTCAAACATGAATGATTCTTTTATTCAGAAATCAAGTACAGAATAAGTAAGATAAATAATCATAAAGTATTTTTTTAAACTATTTAAGAAGCTTTTCAAGGACATCGTTCATCATTATATCAGGGTAAATATATGATTGTTCACAATATTTTGCATTCTGAACAATCATCTATCTCTCTTAGTATTATTAAAATTAATATAACTGTAGAAATAATTAAGAATTTTTTTGTAGAAATTAAAGAATAAATTTTATAGAAACAGTAAAAAAAACTTGGATGTCTGAACCAGTCAGAAATTAAAGTTCCTTTATGAACTGAACTTCTTTTTGCCCATTTGTAAAAGTGAAAAGTATGGCAGAGTCACTTAAGTCTTAAATTTAATTTGTGATCATTTAATTAATTATTTACTTTAAATTAAATTGTTGCAAGATAAATTGTATTTTGCAATGTTCTTCACATGCAGTCAGAAATGAGAACTACATGAATTCAATGGAAAAGTCTTGCAAGAAGCATATATTTTTAAAGCAAATAGTATCAGTTCCGAATGTGGCATATCATTTTTATCAAATTTTTGAATTCTCTGTGAATTATAATAATAATAATCATTATTGCTTTAAAATTTGTTATAAAAAGAATGATTATTCTTCTTTTTTCAAATTGGCCATTAATGTAGTTGGTCTTTTGCCTGAAATTGTACTTTTAATGGCTAACACTAAAACTTTCATAAGGAAATTTGGCTTTGAACAGACTAGCTTCATTATGTAGCAGACTGAACTGGAATGATCACTGAATAGATGATTTTTCTCATGTGTGAGATCAATGCAGATCAGTTTACTTGGAGAGTCCCTCGTGTATTCTCAAGTATGAAAGTCCTGAGGCACGTATTCTCTTTGACAAATAGTTCAAGCGTACTTTACCATAATTTAATAATTCATCCAATTCAGTCCTTAAAAAAATTCCATAATTTGTCATGATTTTGTTCTTGAGTCATTTTAATATGAAACTCTTGAGGAAAAAATAATATAAATCTTTCAGTTACATAATAGGATAAATTTGTGAACTAAATTTGAGTAGATTATTTGAACTACCTCTTAGGGATCTGCATCTAAGTATGTGGATGCCTTTGCAGTATCAGGAAAATCTCATATTTGCATTACACGTGGAGAAACTACAAAAGTGCCTCTGCAGCCAGCCTTTTTGCCAAGAGCTGAACTTTGGTCAAACTATCAATGTTGAGCAGTCATCATAGTGGATTGAGACAATTTTTTAAGCTTTATGGTTTGATTTTTTTAAATTATTACAGTTAATAAAGTATGTCATGCCTGTTCCCATTTGCTCTTATTGTGGCTTCTTTCTTTGTCTTACCCAAATTTTAGAATTGTCCACCTACTGCAGCTTTTTGTTCTAATATGTGGGTTTGATTACTTATCTTTAAAAAAGTAAAACTAATGTGGAATGTTTATTACTCAGGTTATACATCAAGAAGTACAATCCCTTGTATTTACTATACCACTTCCTCGAGACACAAGACCAAGTCAGTACTTAATAAGAGCAGTTTCAGATCGATGGTTAGGCTCAGATCGATCATTTGTGATGTCATTTCAAGATCTTATTCTCCCTCAACATCATCAGCCTCATACAGGTTAGTAGAAATAAATATGCAGTTCTTTTCTCTCTACTAGTATTTTTCTTTATTACCAGTTCATCAGTTTTCTTAAACATTGAAATAAACCTCTTTGAAATATTTATTGTTTTCACAGATTTTGCACTGTAGCAAAATAAAAAATATTGTCACTTAAAATAAATATTTAATGAAATAAATGCAAAGCTGTATTATGAAGAATAAAATCTCTTTCATTAAATAAGTGCACAGATCTTTAAGTGGTGTTAATTTATGATGAGATAATGTTGTAGCAATTTTTTTTTTTTTTTTCCCTTTGATTTGCCTTTACCACTTTGAACAGGTCATTTAAATGTAAGATTTTATATTCTGTATCTATAATATGTGGAAAACTAGTTCTTCTGCCAAACTAGTGGGCAAACAGTTAAGACCACTGAATACTGTAGTTCGAACCCAGGCAAACGAGCTAGCTGCACGGCTGGTTTTCATGGTTTTCTCCATGTGTAACATGAATATGAGCCAGTTTCTCTTAGAAAGTTTTCTATGCTGGTATCCATCCTCTTGCTCAGATAGTAGGCCTTCATAAGCTTTGCCATACTCAGATAACCTAACCAAACCTCTCATTTTTCTGCCTGTTGTAATTGCTTATCTTGAAATTGTTAACTTATGTAACTGCTTAGCTTGAAGTGATAAAATAAAAACTGCATACCAAAATCATGTTACACTTTGTCTCTCTGTCTTGTGATTTTTATATTTTTTAATTTTGTAAAGTTATTTTGCAACTTATTATAAATTGTTAGATGTTTAGCTGCAATTTGAAATTTTCAGGGTTTGTCTCCCCCCACAAGGGGGATAGGTTCTGTATAAAATGGAAATTTTAAAAAAAAATTGTAAAATAAAAAAGGTGTATAAAATAAAAATTTCTTCTTGTGCCTAAAATGTATTCCAGCATCTAAATTTAAAAGAACAAAAACAAAACTAAGTAAACATTTTTGTATAAAATATTTTTATTTAAAGAAACTAACATTTTGTTCAACAACTAAAATCGGAGAGTTTTCACCATTTCTTTTCATCAGATAAAAATAGTTTGAGTCATATAATTTTGGAAAAAAATTTGCACCAGTTTTACCAAGTGGAAAACTTAAAAGACTTTTAGTAAGATAGGAGCCAATGTAAAAAATTAAAATATCTGTATTTTATCCAGAAAATATTTAAAAAAAATGATTATGATCTGAAAGAAATTTACTCATAAAATCATTTTGATGCTCCCTTTACCCTTTCCTCAATATACATTTCAGCTATGTAATATTTTTGGAGAGGAGAGAATACTCTTTCCATATTCCTAATATACATATTTGTTTGAATTTTAGATCTTCTGAATTTGGTTCCATTGCCAGTCACGGCCCTGAAAAATCCTGAATTTGAAGAGTTGTATAAATTTGAATATTTTAATCCTATTCAGACTCAAATATTTCATACATTGTATCATACGGACCATAATGTTCTACTTGGTGCACCTACTGGCTCTGGAAAGACCATTGCAGCAGAAATAGCTATGTTCAGAGTGTTTAATGTTCATCAAGGGACCAAGGTATGTTTTTCTGAAGAAATTCATGAAACCATTTCAATTATTTTGTTTTTGTCAATTTTTTTGTGTTTAAAAGTATTTTTATATTGTGAATCTTATGTTGAAGTAATTCCATAGCACCTTGTAAATCATTTTGTTTGTTGTTTCTGATATTAAACAGTGCATGATATATAACATAAATTGTATATGTATAAAGTGCAAACATAAAATATTTGCAAATGTATTAGATAACCTAATTGCATTTTATATGTGATTTATGAGGACTTTTTTCATTAAATAAATAAAAATTTATAGTTTTGATCTTTCTGAATATTCCGTGTAATAATCCTGTAATTATTTCATTTTTTGTATGCTTAGACGTCTCAAAAATTCCTTTTTTATTTTCCTGTGATTTACTTATTAATGAGGCGCAGTGGCTAGTGCATCGCACAGCAGCACCACAGGTCCAGGGTTCGATCCCTGGGCTGGGCAAGGTCAACTCAGCCTTTCATCCCTTGGGTCGATAAACGGAGTACCAAGTTTGCTTGGGGCCTAAACACCGGGGGTCCTGCGACCAAGCTGACCACTTGTTCAGGGCATATGCTTACGCACCTCGGGGCACACGATCAAGAAAGCAGATTTCGGGCACTACTGGCCTTGGCCCACTAGGGCTGTTGCGCCACTGAGTTTAGTTTACTTATTAATACTTTATTATGTAAATGAACTGCATCTGTTTTATGGATGGGATTTTTGTTGTATCAAGTAAAATAAATGTATGATAATTGCTTTTGATTTATGTAATATTTATATGTAAGTAAATTCAATGTTATTATTGGTTTGCTTTCCATCATGCTATTTCAAAGTTTCCATTTTATCTGATATACTTTTTAAAGTAATTTTTATTTTTAATTTTAAAAATCAAAAATAAAGTATCTCTTGATAATTTGGTGATTCCATTTGGAATGTGTTCAACATAAAATGTGAAAGTATTTTATGATTTATAAAATATCTTTCAAATATTCAGTTAAAAATAAGATATTTAACCCATTAACTGCCAAATTGTTATTTTATTTCTGTTATTTTACATCTAAATAATAAGAAAAACATGTTTTTCTCATAAATGCGTAATTTTTTTTTCAGAAATTTTAAATTTAAGTCCGATCCCCAAGTGGGGATCATGGCTGATACTATCTACTTTTAATGCCAGCATTCAAAACAGTCTACATGTAATCCAACATTACATTTTCTACATTGTTTTCTTGCATTTGTTTTGCACACTGCTTATTTTCGGTCCGTTCAATATAATGATTACCAGATGTTCTGATAACAGTAGGAACACGATTAATTGATGCTTTAGTGAAAGAATTCCTTCCACCCTTTTTTGCATCTGAGAGTTCTGTAGATAAAGCAAGATATCCTCTTGCAACCATCCTCCTAAACTCTAGGAATGGAATTTTATCATTTGAAATACAATACAGTGCTTGGGCGTTAACCAGCGTTACGTCGATGGCATTAGTATGCAAAGGAAAATACCATTCCCCCCCCCTTATTCTGATTCTGTATTTTTGAACATTCCAATCCATCTTGTCTACTCCACCCATGTATTTGTTATATTCTGATATCAGTTTGGTTTGTGGTACTTGAAAATCTTTCTTCTCTGTTCTACTCCATCGCTTCACCTCTGATATTGGTTCGATAGTTTCATGATTAGACAGAAGCCTTGCACAACTGTTGTTATTCCACGTGACAGCTAAAATTTCATTACGGAAATCAAATCTGTAGTCATGTGCCCCGCGTTCTTTTTTTCCTTATTTCTTTGTCTGTTGCAATAGGGCATTTGTTCATTCTGTTGCTCTAAAGAGGTTATCACACATGGCTACAGTGCCTGCTAGATGGGACTTTTCTGAGAAACAATATTCTGGTAGCACTGGTTTCCTAGAAACCTTTCCGGTAGAATTCCTAGAAAAAAGAGCCCCGCCTGAAGCGAAGTTCCACCTAACTACGGAAGCAATGTTCCGGCTACGTGAGATTTTTTCAAACCTCAGCGAAAATGTTCCGGGTAGAGACAAACAGGTGAAAATTCTGGTCTGAAGGATCACGTGATCCCGATTTTAGCGATAATCGATTACTCTTTGCCGTTCAAGTCTTTGTAGTAAGTGAGAATGGTAACCTAGCTACGTGTGTTTCCCAGAATTTTGCGGGTTCTGAGAATTGTCTCTTTCAACATCAAGTCCCGCGTAGCCGAAACATAATGTGATTGGGACCTAACGTGAATGTCCTGCAAATGTTTTATCAGGGAAAATCCTGTGAAAAAATTGTCAAAGTAAACTTTATGAGCATTTGGTGTCTGAAGAATAGATACCATCTGAAAGACAACATATGTCCCAAGCCCACTGATGCTTTCATCATTTCCTAATTTCTTTGATTTGCCTTCATACACTTGAGTCTGATAACAATATCCAGTCTGTGAACAACAAATAGCCCATTGAAGCTAATGCCAAACCGCACTGGCTTACCACGTATAAATTGTTTGATGTAGTGATGTCCATAGTAAAGAACCATTTGTTCGTCAATGCTCAAACTTTCAGAAAACACCCCCAAATTGTTAAAATTTGTCATTCAGCTTGTCAATGAATAGGCGAATCTTGAAGTTATCACATTCACCTAGTGGAATACTTTCTAAATCGGAGTTTTCACTGATATGTAGGTACCGTTTAATTTCCAAATACCTATTCCGACTCATGCATGCTCTAACACACAGAATGTTCATGCCTTCATCTTCACACCAATATAATTGTTCTTGTGGAAGTGAATGATAGCCAGTGAAAAGAAGTATTCCAATAAATGTTTTTAGGCAATTATTAGAAAGCTGAAATTGATGATTGTTTTTTTGTCTGGCATATATTACAGACTACTGGACAATATAGGTGACAGTTTCATTACCAAAAAGTATTTCAAAACACTCTACCGGGGATTTCCCCCTGAGTTTTCTAATGACATCATTTCGCCTTGTCTCTATAATGTCAGAATTTTCATATAGTTTCGAGTACTTAGGTTGCTTCTTTTCCAATTGGAAGTCGCCACACAGTGAATTTCAACTCACCCGAGAAAATCAAGTGGTTCTTCATCTTCAATCACGCTGTCATCCATGTCCTCATTATCTGAAATCTCATCAACCCGCTCTGGTGGAATTTCAACAATATCTATCGTTGTCATCATCAGATGCAAAAAAAGTCATCAGAATTTACAATTTCTTCTATTTCTTTTAAAGAAAGATATCTTTTACGTGACATTTCCTGGGGGGGGGAAGTTTTTTTTTACAGTTTTAGTCAGTATGAGCCATGATCCTCAAATGGGGATCGATATATCTAGGTTCACTGTACCCATCCAAATTACAGTATGAGGATAAATAATATATAAATACATTAATTACTTACCAATGATCAAGGGAAATTCAGTACAACAAAAATAATTGTTCCTAAGTAACTTTTTTGTGCTTTAAAAATAACTGTATTATTTTTCTCGTGAAAAGTAACGAGAGAGCAAGAAAAATAAACTCGTGAGTTCAACTAACTGAGTCCACGTGTTTGTTTAAGATTTCTACCCTTAGTTGCAATTTTCAGGAAAGTATGACCACCCGTAAGGGACCACCCAGGTGCAGTCACAATGTATACAAATGTAGGCGATCCCCATATGGGGATCATGACAGGGAATGGGTTAAATATACTAAAAAACATAGTTAAAGTGGACTGTATTGTTCAAGAAATCTGTATGGAAATGTTCAAAAATATAAAGGTATAAATTTTTTTAAAGTTTCTGAGTATCTTAATTTTATATATGTAATGTAATTCATTATTTTAATTCTTAAAAATCCTTTTTAACTTGAAATGTTTTTCCTACATTCAAAAGTCTCTATATAGTATTGTAAAAAACAACTTTAGTTTCTTTCTGAAATATCATTGCTGCAAGATATATTGAAGCACTAGAATAGATTTTAAATGTCACAAATAAAAGCATCTTTTGACTTCAAAATATCCACCATTAAAAAAATAATTCAGTTATATTTTTTATACTGGCAATTTTGCAGGACGGCTTTCAGATTTTTATGTTTTTTTCATGCTGGCAACAAGAGCTTATGTGACTAATGAGATTTTCTTTCTGTTAGTGGTTGGCACTCCAGCATCTATGACTGAGAAATTTGCTCACACTTGAGTATGACTAGGGTGATTTTAAAATTCGTGTTACTGAAATATTCCATATGAGTCACTCAGGTATATGCTAAATATTTTCATAAAATTGTTAAACAATTCCCCCCCCCATGAAAGTCAAGCTCACACTTTTATACTCAATCAAGAAATATTTAGGTTTTAATTAATACAAGTATCTTCATTTAAAAAAAATATTATTACTGTTTTTTTTAAGTCCAAAGTCACTTTGTCCCTAAATGACTATTGTTTTTGTTTTGCAATTTTGCGTTGGTTCACTATAAATGTCTGTTTCACTTTTCAAACTATTGTCACCAAATGTTATCCTGCATTATATTTGAAGAAATTAAATAATGAAAAATCTGCATAAATGTATGTATATTTCTCACATTGTTTTATTATCAATTTCATATTTGGCAAAACTTTAACGAATTTTTTATAATCAAAAGCAAGCAATAGCAACATCGCATGGAATAAACATTTTATCTCCAGCGCATGAGTCTCTGTATCGGAAATTATAAAGATATGCTCATTTTAAAACTATTTTGTGATAATGCTGTTGAACTGAATTTTACGATTTAAGTGTAAAGAACATGATATTTAATAAATAAATGTAACACACAAAATGTTAAAAAAGCACCCCTTTGGACGTAATTTAAAATCTAAAATAAAAAAATTTAAAAAAAAAAAACATTCTCTCTCATTTTCTTTTCCTCCTTTTTTTTTTTTTTTTTTTTTTTTTTAAGAGCATTAATTTATTTTTTTAAATGTGTGTGAAGTTAACTGAAAGTGAAAGGAAGAAAGTAGAGCTAATTTTTTTAGTCATAAATAGGGAAGAAATTATTTTTTCATAATTTAAACTTTAGGTATTTATTCACTTGTAGAAAGCATTTATGTACTATCAAGTGTTGTTAATTCAAAAACTGTGAATTTTAGAAGAAAGAAATCTGAGCACATATTATGTGAGCATAATCAGCATGTACAAATATGTAGAAAATAAATTTTGTTATGAGAAAATCTTCATTGCTTTTGTGTGTTTTGCCTTCCTTTACAGATTGTATATATTGCACCTTTGAAAGCTTTGGTCCGAGAAAGAATTGAAGACTGGAAAATAAGGTTTCAACAGAAACTTAAAAAGAAGTAAGTTTGAATGTTTTCTGTTGAAATGGAACATTTATATAAAGTGCATTTGATGTTATATAAAGTTTTCCACATCCAAAAATTCCAAGTAATGTTATTGTTGTCACCTAATTAATCTTCTTTCTGTTTCGTCCTAAAAGTATAGTTGAACTAACTGGAGATGTTACTCCTGATGCTGCTGCTATTGCAGCAGCGGATATTATAGTTACTACTCCAGAAAAATGGGATGGTGTTAGCAGAAGTTGGCAAACTAGGAACTATGTAAAAGCTGTGTCTCTTATCGTCATTGATGAAATACACTTATTAGGTTTGTTTTGCTGTTGTTACCCCTTATATTAAGATTTTTAAGCTAAATAGAAAAAAAATATTGTTTTGAAATACTGAAAATTTCAACAAATTACTTTTTTTTTTTTTTTTTTTTTTTATAAATTAACTTTGACTTTTTTATTGTTTTTTTTTTTTGTGTCCAAATATGTATATTATTATATATGAATTAAATCTATAAATCTGTGTAAAGTTATTTATTGTAAGAAAATTATATATGTAAATATATTTTAAGAGTTTTTGCATTCTAGATCCACAATTATTAGCTGTTGTCTATTTAATTATCTGCATTTTAATTTAAGTAATGTAATTTTATCAACATTATAGGTGAAGATCGAGGTCCTGTATTAGAAGTGATAGTTTCCAGAACAAATTTCATATCTTCTCATACAGAGCGAAAAATGAGAGTTATAGGATTGTCTACTGCTTTAGCTAATGCAATTGATATAGCTAATTGGTTAGGAATAAAAGAGGTAATTATTTTTAACTAATTTAAGATTATGTAGATGTTTGTAGGACATAAGTACAAAGTCCAAGATCCAGAACTGTAGGGACTTCTGAATTTCAGAAATTTAGGGACTTTAGTTCATTACTTTAAATGTAATAAGATGACATGTGGAAATTATAAAATTAAAACTATGAAATAGTTGTTTATGAAATAATGAAGCATTTATGATATTAAGAGAATCAAAATATACAAAAAAAAGTTCAATATTTTGTTTGTTTTAGTAAACAGTTCTTAAGTTGTTTAAGCTGTTTCATTTTATGTGCTACTTTCTCTTTAATTTTTAAGACAGACGTAATTTTTTGTTCAGTTAGTAAGTTCCATTGTTCAGTCCTGTGGTTGCTATGTAAAAAATTCTTGCTAAATTATCAATCAAAACTTTTCATTCTCAAAAATTTTGCCACTGATGGAAGCAATATTTTCTGGAATTATAACCAAATTACAGATTTCAGCATCTACTTGCTGATTGGGACATTGTCATTGCAGTTGAAAATGTGGTATATTACAGTACAAAGTCTTTAATCCAGATGTCCATAATCCGGACCTCAAAGCTACAAACTTTCTGCGCATGCGTTAGAAAGTCCTCCACAAAGGCATCCCTCCCTTTAGGCAGATAGCCCTCATGTGCTTTGCCATAATTGAATAATCCTTCTGCGCATAATACCTTTACACATGCACATTTAATGTATAACGGATGGTATAAGCTAGGCTAAAATTATCTAATTATCTATTTCAGTTAATGTTGCAGATTGTGTTGTTCCTTAATTTTCTAATTGTATCCGGCTTATTATTTTTTGCAGACTGTTAGAGCAATTTTATAAAAAGTAAGCTTAAACTTTCGATTATGTCAAAAATAGTTTCCTATTCTGGAGCTGCTTAAGGATCACAAAGCGAAAGCATGTTTCGATGTTTCGATGTACTGCTTCCAATAGTGAAGCGTGTGACAGAGAGGTTATTGTCAGACATTCGAAACGAAAAAAATTCGATTGAAAATGAAAAATTTCGATATTATTGAAAACGAAAAAATTTTGATTGACAAGTTAGACGGTATTCTCGACACACCAATTACAGGGCTTGAACAGTGGAACTGAACAAGAAATTATGTTTGTTTATAGAATTAAAGAGAAAGTATTCACACAAAAAACAAAACAAATTAAACAACTTACATTGAAAGAAATGTTTAATAAAGTAAACAAATAAATATTATGCTTTTTTTTCTTTTTTGTAAATTTTGATACCCTTTAGATCATAATTGCTCTTTATTTCATAAATCATAAATAATAATTATAATGGTTTCATATTTTTTATTTTATAATTTGTGCATGCCATCTTACCAGATTTAAATTGATGATCTATAATCTGGAAAAAACATTAATCCGGAATCGCCGAAGTTCCAATGAGTCCGGATTAAAGACTTTGTATTGTATTCTGTTTCTTATCATTTCTCCACATTTCTTTATAAATTCGATTAACTGGAAAATCTCACCTTCTGAAGCATTCAAAATAAAGTTGCTATTTTGCCTAATTTTGAAGTCACATGTTGTTAAGCCCAAATTGCACCATTTATTCAAGCATAAAATACCAACACCTCTATGAAAGTTGCTTTCTTCAAATTAAAATAATTATGGTAGGGCATCTTTTAGCTGCAGCACCTATCTGTAGGTCTCTGTCTTGCTCAGTGATGGTTAACTGTCATAAATTGCTGCACCTTTATCTTGAATGCATTAATGTAAAGTATCCCAGATGAAAATGGTTTCAGAAACATCACTTTAATGTGAGAAATTAGAGTACTGGTTAAATAATGTGCTAAAAGTGTTGTTGATGTTAAAAAAGTACTACAAGTAATGTTAGACGAAGTAGGTACAATATTTCAGTTCTTTTTAAAATCCATAGAGTGTGAATTTTTTAATATTGTTTCAAATTTAATATTGGCATGCATTCTTATTTTGAAGAATTAAATTAACTTCCTGAAGATATTTCATAAGATCAGTGTGAATGTCTGAAAATTTGATCTGTAGGTTTTAATTTTTAAAAATGCTTAGCTTTTGAACACCTTTTTAGTGTTTAATGTTAAAGGTCTAATTGAAGAGAGGCAGAATGAAATTTTTGAAAAAAAGAATAAACATTTCTGAAATGTAAAGTATGTTAATTTGTTCTTGCAGTATCTGGATATGTGGATTGAGCCATTTCAGGATTTGTTTTGTTCCTAATAATTGAAATCTGAAAATTTCTTAGGGACAGAAATAAAGTTATTCATCAGTGGTCTTGATGTGAAGTCAGAGAAAGTGTAAACTATAGCAAAGTACAAACTTTTGTCATTTCAATTGCATAACATTCGCTGCAGATCTGCTGAAAGATCCCAATATTTTAAAGCAAACAGATGAACTGAGAAATATTTATGGGCTTTTCAAATCAAGTTATGCTGTATTGGAACATGCATTCCCTTTACATCTGCTAAAAGATCCCAACATTTTAAATAGATCATAGGCTCTTTAAATTACGTTACTCTCTGTTGGAACATGAATGATTAAAAAAGATCCTAGTACTTAGGAAATCAAATCAATAAGAAAAAAAAATTATGGTATATTTAAATTAAGTTACCTTATACTGGACTACAAATTAAAATTATACATTAAACAATGAAATTCAGTTAGACAAAATTCATTGTTGTTTTTATTTATTCCAGTCTAGTAATAATTAATTTAAGAAGTAAGTATCAAAATATTCATAATATTAAACATTAATTTTAATTGTTTGAAATTGCATGACTGTTGCTCATTAGGTGAATTTGCATGTATGATATTCTCATTTTTATTTTTCAAAATATTGACACCATATTATGGTAGTCTAATTTTTGTGCTTCATAGTGTGCTAATATTATTTGCTTAATTTCTCTTCTTTAATCTGTATGCTAAATTCATCTCTGTGTACTAAAATGTAAATAATAATTATACATTAAAATAACATTAACTTTCTTTTTTATAAACTTTTGTAATGTAAAATGGGAAAAAATAAATAACTATGCTTTGTATTCTTAGGTTGGACTATATAATTTCCGTTCTTCAGTGCGGCCTGTTCAACTTGAAGTTCATGTTTCAGGCTATCATGGGAAACATTATTGTCCTCGTATGGCTTTAATGAATAAGCCTACATATCAGGGTGAATAATTTAAATTTACAAATATTTTTACATCGTTTTATGTATTTTCATGTTCCCTTTTAGCCAAGTATACATTAAAGCAACTGTTCTGATAATTAAATATTGGAAATAAAAGATTAATAGGCTAAAAAAAACTAAATCACATAAAATTAACAGCTGATTTCCATTTTAATTCCCTTGAAAGTCATACATATTTCTTCCACAAAATTCTAAATCTTGTTTTGTCCTACCACTAATCCTCAATATTTTTCAATCAGACATTTTAATGGCATTCATTAGTGTGGTTGGTTTTGCTCTGGCATTTAAATTTAAATAAAGCTTGCCCTGTTCTCATTATTTTTTATAATACAGTAAATTTTTAATGTGCCCTCCTTTTAGTTTTTTAATTTCAAAAACAAATAATATTCTTTGATTCAATTTTTTAAACATTTCTTTTTCAGCTATACGCACTCATTCTCCTGATAAACCTGCCTTGGTTTTTGTATCTTCAAGACGACAGACTCGCTTGACTGCCTTAGATTTAATTGCATATTTAGTAGCAGAAGATGATCCTCGCCAGTGGGTACACATGAAGGAACAGGAAGTGAGTTAGTCATAATGTTGCTTATGCTATATTTTTATAAATTTTCAAGCAGGTTCCTTAACCTTCCAGCACGAGCGCTTGGGAATTTTAAATGAGCATGCCTTGCATCATATTTTTTACGACATCTGTTATTTTACCGTTTTTGGCACAAAAAAATGAGTGAATATTGATAATAAGTTTGTTAAAACATAAAATATCAACTTTATTACTGCAAAAAACAAATAATGTCATATTTAAATGATAATAAATTATTTTTAAACGTTCAAATCAGTCAGATGGAAAAGCAATAATGTATTTCATTATAAAACTTTACAAATTTATTATTTAATAACTATATCTTAAAATCCAAGCTAATTTTAATATTCATCTGTCCTGTCCTGTTGATTTATCATCGAATTGAAGATAACTTGTCAGAAATAAAAATATCTTTTAGATCATCACAGCTCTTGTTATTTCAATTCCACTTGAGAACAATTCTTTTACATTTACATGGTGTCCTTTTTTTTTATTACTATCATATATAACAATTCAAATTAGGCCATCATTTGCACTCAGTAACAGTGCTATTATTCTCACATCCAAAAGTTTCTATGTCTTCTTTTCTTCATTAGATAATTCTTGAAGAATGCAAGCAAAATCAGCTGGTTGCACATATTTTTTTACGATGAAAACTGATATAAAAAATTATAGACTCGAATTTATGCAAATTAAATTAATACATGTCAATTAACAACACAAAATATTTGGGAAAAAAATATACACCCTTCCAATGACCATGTGCAAGTCGTAACTTTTACGAAGAAGCTGCCACGTAGCACAAAAGCCCAGTGAAAAAGAACAAAAAAAGGTCATATGACTTCCTTTTGTCCCATTCCATGATGTGGTGAATGGTTGAAAGGAGGAATGGAAATGACATTCAGAGTCTCAGCTACAATATGTGAAAGTGTGCATTAAAAACCGAATTTGTCGTAAATTTTTTGCATAGCACGCATGCTGGAAGGTTAATGCTGATGAACTTCTGAATTTAAGATTATATAATAGTTGTTTCTAATTACAAATTTAACAATTTGTATTCAAATTAATTTCAAAAGATCTAATAATAGGGTGCTGCTTTGGTAGATGGTTGCACAGATTTGGGCTTTTTTTTTTTTTTTTGCGAGCGATATGAGTTATGGTTGACTCATTGCTGGATAAGTTGTTTATATTAACCGATACTTTATTGTCATTTTATTTAAAAAATAATGCATTTTATTATGCATAAATTCCGTGTTTTAAATCTTATTTATGGCTTCTAAATATTAAAAATCAATTTAATTTTGTATTTTTATTTGAAATAAAAATTTTATTGTTTATGATAATTTGTATAATTTATGTTGTGGATGATGTAATCAATGACGTCCCCTTGCTTTAAAAGTAATTGGTTTTAATATCTATAAATTTAATCTAATTTTTTAAACATTATTTATGGGTGTTAAATATTTAAATACAATTTAATTTTGCATTTTTTTAAAAAAGATTTTATTATGTATGATTATTTAAATAATTTTAATTCTAGGCGTGATGTAATCAGCTCCCTGATTGGTTACTGAATATTTGTGCATTAACGTGCCATTTTAAAATTTTATTACTCATCTCTTCGAATTCCTTAGATTTCATAGGTAACAGATATGTCCCTTTCAAAGATTAATGTTGTTATTGGTAAGCACTAAGAATTATTGGTATCAGAATACAAAAATTGTCCTTTGAGACCTTATTTTGTCCAACCTGGCTTTCCTAATCAAAGATTTATTCATAAATTGCTACGAGGGTCAGACGAAATTTATTTTAAAGTTTTGGAGGAAACCTCACGAATTGCTTCTTCAATGAAGTGCGAGAAATGTGGATCACAGATGAAGACCGTTAGACGAGCCAATTCTGAGGACGGCCATATATGGTATTGTATTGTGATCATGGTGGAAGAAATAACTGCTGTAATGGTAAAAAAAGTATTAGACATTCCTCCTTTTTTTACAGGCAATAAACTAATTCCTGTCATTTTAGCTCTACTGCATGAAGTGTTCTTATTTACTTATTTTAAAGTATTTGAATTTAAGTAATATTTTAATTCTTTTAAATGTTGGTATGATGGTTTTTAATTCGATAATCAATTTGCGTAATATTTTATTCCAGTTAAACGTTGCCGCAATGTTTTTATAGCGGTGTTTTTATTCTATATGAAAGTAATAATTTAACCTTACTTTAGTATTTTATACTCATGGTAAATGTATTTATTTACATTTGCCTGCCATCTTAAAAAACGTTTTCAACAAAAAAATTAGTCCATTATTTTTCACGATATTTATTTTTTTAAAGTTTCAAATACTTTACTATGTGCAAAATACGTAAAAACAGCATTTTTGGCTGACGATTGTAAAAACTGCGCCAAAGTAAATCACCAAGAATCCATTCAACAGTCTAACAGAGTAGCACCAATAATAGCATACATTTGGTACAAGCATAACTTTTCAGCTTTGAAGTAAAAATTCAAATTTTCATGTACAGAAAGTAAAAATTATACTTTGCACATTTTTTATATGAACATATACTAAAAAAAAAGACTAAAAATATCAGACTTTAATATAGTTTTCTCTCTCTCTCTCTCTCTCTCTATATATATATATATATATATATATATATTCAAGAAATCTTTGTAGTGTTAGTTTAGATTAAATCGGGGAAATAGTGTTAAAATTTATTTAAAACTTCAAAAATGCACATGCTGTTTTCATTTAACTAGTAAATACATCTTATATGTGCTCTCTCATAGTGTGGAAATTTCATGACAAAGCTGAAAGAAGCTGAAAATTCAAAAGGGAGCTGTTTAGCTCCATACCGATAAATGTACAATGACCCGATAAGAACCACAAAGCAAAGTAAAATTACAGATTTTTTTAAGAAGGAATAATTTTAATTAAGGAAAAAATTGCTGAAAGTGAAGGCTATATCATTCTGCCAAAAAACGTTTCCGGTTGATTATACTGAGTAGTGAAGACTAAGAAATTTATTAAACAAGAGTTGAAATAAAAATAATATTTTTTGTGTTTTGTGTTGTACATACATTTATATTTTTAATAAAAATTAAATTGTGTATGTAATTTTTAAAAAAAAAAAACTTGTTCTTAAGAAGTTTTCAAAATATGACCCCTCCTTTTTTGTACCAGTTTTGGGTCTTATACAACACATTTTCGCACAATGTAACATTTTTTAGGAACTTGTCTACCATGTTATAGGAGGGTTACCTGGCTTATAAGTTACTTCATTCAACTCAAAGGAGATAATATACTTAATACTACATTAGTAAATAAATTATTATTTTATTACTTTGCAGCTTTTGGACAAGTATTAAGCAATTTATTTTGATCAATTAATATATATATATGCACTTAAAAGCAGATACTTTCTGTAAATTTTTTTAAAGTGTATGTTTTTTAAAACATAATTAACTAACTACTGTTGAAAGTTTTATTTTTCAAAGATGTTATATGCTGTTTCTATCTTATCAAAAACAGTTTTTATATGTACATGAAAAAACTTTTAGAAAAACTATGCAAATCTATATGTTTGACTTTGATTCAATTTTTCTGAATGTTGCTTTTCCCAGGTTAATTCTGTTATCTCTCTAATACGAGATCAGAATCTGAAGCTTACAATAGCGTTTGGCATTGGTCTCCACCATGCTGGTCTTCATGAGCGTGATCGAAAGTTGGTAGAAGAACTTTTTCTTCATCAAAAAATTCAAGTAAGGAGAAGTTATTCTGTTAAAAAATTTCAGTATAACTTCCAAGTATTTTAAAGGGAAAAAGTCCATGAAAATTAGATTAATATAAAAAAATACTAATGTATTTATTCTTTTTTTTTTTTTATGAAACTCTTAAATGAACTTAATTTTTGTTATTGTGAACTAGGTTTTGATTGCTACAGCAACTTTAGCATGGGGAATCAATTTACCTGCTCATTTAGTTGTAATAAAAGGCACAGAGTATTTTGATGGCAAAGTGCAAAGATATGTTGACTTTCCTATCACAGGTATTTATTTATTTTATTAATAATGTTACGAATTTGGTATTTAAAAAGCTAATGTGACGAATATTAAAAGAAAGCTAAGCCGGAAAATTGAAAATACAAGAGCGCATGCATTAAATAAATAAATATCTCTTCTCAGTTCGTAGTAGTTGCTTAGTTTGTTGTTGTTTAGAAAACTGCTCTTGTTGATTTGTTGATTGTAGTGAATTCGCGGATTAGCGTTCTTTAGCTGTTTTGAATTACGTTCTATTGGACATTTGAGTAGTTAAAAGATAACTACTGTGAGATATTGTAATACTGCATGATAATTTGAGAAAATTTAAGCATTTTTTGTTGTGATAATAATAAATTTTTGTTCATTTTTCATCGGACTTGTGCATTCATTTCATAACGAACCCGTACGCACGCAACAATTTTTGGTGTCAGGAGTGGGGTTTGAATGCCAATAACAAGAGCGATGGAAGAGCAATTAAGGTAGTTAATATCAGCCTTTGCTACATTTAACTTTTAAAGAAGACATAAAAGCTGTACAAGAAAAGATTGAAGCAGGTCAAGACGAAATGAAAAGAGAAATAACCTGCGTAATAGAAAGTAAATTTGAGGCTATGGAAGACAGAATAGGAGCTGTTGAAAATAAATTCGGGCAAATTGAAGAAAAGGTTTCTTCTGTCAAAGATGAAATAGAAGATAGAGTGTCAGCTGTGGAGCGACAAGTCGAAGGAAGAGTTTCGGCCTTCCAACAACAAATTGAAGAAAGAGTTTCTGCCATCCAAAGACATATTGAACAACAAATAGAAGACAGAGTTTTTGCCGTCCAAGGACATATTGAACAACAAATCGAAGACAGAATTTCTGCTGTCGTCACCAAAGAAGTTGACACTTTAAAGAAATTCGTAGCGATGGCAGGGAGCACTTCGGATGGTTTAAAATTTCTACCCATGCCTGCTCGTCCCTCTCTGAAGCTATCGACATATGATGGGAAGACCTCCTGGCAGGTGTATAAGACACAATTTTCTATCATGGCAGATGCGAATGGATGGGATTCCCAAGCTAAGGCCTGTCATCTCGCCGCTTCTTTTAAGAGCCGACGATATGGAAGAAGGCGATGTCATCGAGCCTTCAGTAAGTCCATGGGCATCTCCCATCACCTAGTCAGAAAGAAAGATGGCTCAACAAGATTTTGCGTCGACTATCGCCGGTTGAATGAGGTTGCGAAGAAAGACAGTTACCCTCTTCCTAGAATTGACGACATTCTAGACACTCTCTCTGGAAGCAAATGGTTCTCAACACTTGATTTAAAGAGTGGGTATTGGCAGGTAGAAATACAGCCTGAAGACCGAGAAAAGACGGCATTTACTACGGGACAAGGGCTTTGGCAATTCAAGGTGATGCCGTTTGGACTGTGTAATGCGCCGGCAACATTCGAACGTCTTATGGAGACTGTTTTGAAAGGCCTTTCCTACGAAGCCTGCCTGATATACCTGGACGACATCATCATCGTCGGAAAGAGTTTTGAAGAACATTTAGAAAATCTTAGGAAGGTGCTTCAGAAACTGAAAGAAGCCAATCTGAAGCTGAGTCCCGCTAAATGCAAATTGTTCCGAAAGGAAGTGACTTACCTGGGACATATCATCTCTGCAGAAGGTGTGCGCACGGAACCTGAAAAGGTATCAGCGGTTAAATCTTGGAAACGTCCCGAAAATGTCCATCAGCTGAGAAGCTTCCTAGGCATTTGCACCTACTATAGGAGATTCGTGAAGGACTTTTCTTCCATCGCAAGACCCCTTCACAAGCTGACAGAGAGCAAGCAAAAGTTCTTGTGGACAAAAGAATGCGAGGATGCATTTAACAACTTAAAGGAGGCTTTAACATCTGCTCCAATCCTGACGTATCCTCAGCTTCGACCGACCATTTATTCTCGACACCGACGCGAGCAATGAAAGTGTCGGTGCTGTTTTGTCCCAAGAAATAGACGGCCAAGAACGTGTAGTGGCGTACTGGAGCAAGTGCCTGTCTAAACCGGAGAGGAATTATTGTGTCACCAGGAAAGAGTTGCTCGCCATAGTCAAAGCTGTAGAACAGTTCCATCACTATCTATACGGCAGAAAATTCCTGCTCCGCACCGATCATGCATCATTGACCTGGCTTTTAAATTTCAAGAATCCTGAGGGTCAAATAGCCAGGTGGATACACAGACTCCAAGAATATGACATCACTATCCGTCATCATAAGGGATCATCACACGAAAACGCTGACGCCCTGTCTAGAAGACCTTGCCAAGAAAGCTGCCGATATTGTTCCAGGGTGGAAGCGAAATACGAGCTGCTGACTCCGGTTGCAAGACAAATTACAACATCAACATCGGTTGATCGAGAACCGTGGAGTGATGATGAAGTCAGGAAAGACCAGCTGGAAGACCGCGACATTAAACCCATAATTGATTTAATGGAGTCATCAAACAGAAAACCTACCTGGCAGGACATTTCTATCTGTAGTCCTACAACGAAACAATACTAAATACTGGGCACTCTGGGATTCACTTCACATTCGAAACGGCGTCTTATACCGGAAATTCGAATCGGATGATGGGAAGACGTTTCGATGGCAACTGATACTTCCAAGATCCCGCATTCCTGATGTCCTTAAAGAACTACATAGCAGCCCTACAGGAGGCCACTTTGGAATAATGAAGACCTTGCAGAGAGTTCGTGAGCGCTTCTACTGGAATAATGCAAAGGATGACGTGCAAAAGTGGTGCCGATCTTGCGATGCCTGTGCAGGTCGGAAAGGACCGAGAAACTCAGCCGAGGCAAGCTGCAACGTTACAATGTAGGAGCGCCTTTTGAACGTATCGCCTTTGACATCCTGGGACCTCTGCCACGAACTGCTGATGGCAACAAATACATACTCGTTGTCATTGATTACTTCACCAAGTGGCCTGAAGCTTATCCTATTCCTGATCAAGAGGCTGTCACAGTAACTGAGGTAATGATACAGCACTGGATTTCCAGGTTCGGAGTGCCTCTTCAGTTACATTCCGATCAGGGAAGGAATTTTGCCTCGGCAGTAATCAAAGAACTATGCAAACTACTCGGCATTGACAAAACTCAAACGACGCCATTGCATCCCCAGTCGGACGGCATGGTAGAGAGAGGTTCAATCGAACCATCCTTAATAACCTCTCATTAGTGGTTTCCAGAAACCAACAGGACTGGGACAAGAAATTACCACTCTTTTTACTGGCTTACCGCAGTGCTGTCCACGAGACTACCGGCTATTCTCCATCACAGATGCTCTTCGGTCGTGACCTTCGTCTGCCTTGTGATCTATTGTTTGGCCGCCCTCCGGATGCTCCTTCATCGTCTGAGGAAATATTCAAGATCTCCAGGCCCGGTTTGAAGTGATGCACAACTTTGCACGAGAGCGAGTCAACTTGGCGACGGAGAAGATGAAGACCCGATACTACGACACAAGAGCTACTGAACATCAATTCCACGAAGGAGACAAGGTGTGGTTGTGGAACCCGACTCAATGGAAAGGACTTTGTCCGAAATTATAGTTACCTTGGGATGCCCCGTACACAGTCCTAAACAGGCTGAATGATGTCGTGGTTCGGATTCGCAAGTCTTCGAACTCTAAACCTAAAGTCGTTCATTACGACAGGTTAGCTCATTACTATGGCCATAGTACGTAATGTAAATAATTGTAAATAGTGTAAGGCCATAGTCCTTTTTGTTTTAAATGTGTATTTAGTATTTGATTTGCATTTGCATTTAGTATTTGATTTGTATTTGATAGCATTTGTTTTAAGTTAGTTATTGCATTTATTTTCATGTGTTGTTTATTTATTGTAATGTAATGCTTATTAATGCATTTATGCCACAGTTGTAAGTTTGGCTTCGTGTCCAGGGATTGTACTGCCCGGGACGTGCAGTCCTTGGGAAGGGGGCAGTATTACGAATTTGGTATTTAAAAAGCTAATGTTAGTTCAATTATAAATTAAATGGTTTTATTTCTCGCGCAGTGCAGCGTGTTAAAAGAAAGCTAAGCCAGAAAATTGAAAATACAAGAATACAAGAGCGCGTGCATTAAATAAATGAATACCGTCAAAAGTCGTTAATTCGGACACCCATAATCCGGACCTCAAAGCTAAAAACTTTCTGCGCATGCGCCGCGTTGGACCTTGACTACTGCGCATATGCGTGTGCGCAAGTGCAGAATACGTTTTCGCTGTCGCGTTTAATGTATAACGGACGGTGTAAGCTAAAAATATCTAATTGTCTATTTCAATTAATGTTAATGATTATGTTGTTCCTTAATCTTCGAATTGGATACCGCTTATTTTTTTTTGCAGACTGTTAGGAGCAATTTTATAAAAAGTAAACTTGAAAACTTTCGATTATGTCTAAATAGAAGTTTCCGATTGCTGGAAAGCTGTCCAAAGGATCTACAAAAGCGAAAGTATGTTTCGATGTCCAACAAATAAAAAGTGGAATTGCTGAAAAAAATGGATAAAGACATGAAGAATGTGACAGAGAGGTTAGTTGAAAAATGAAAAAAAATTTCGATTCGACAAGTTAGTCGGTATTCTCGGCACAGCAATTACGGGACTTTGAACAGCGGAACTTTGTAACTGAACAAGAAATTATGTCTGTTTATAGAATTAAAGAGAAAATATTATCACAGAAAAACGAAGCAACTTAAACAACTTACATTGAAAGAAATGTTTAATTAAAGTAAACAAATAAATATTAAGCTTTTTTTCTAAATTTTGATACCCTTTAGATCATAATTGTTCTTTATTTCATAAATTACGGTTTCTTATTTTTAATTTTAGAATTTCTGCATGCCATCTTACGAGATTTAAACTGATGATCTATAATCCGGAAAAATCGATAATCCGGAATCGCCGAAGTCCCGACGAGTCCGGATTAACGACTTTTGACTGTATCTCTTTTTGATTTCGAGAAAGTACTGGAAAATTCTAGCGTGTGATTTTTAAA